GATGCTGCAGGTGGTTTAGACGGCGACGATATGGCTCCTGCGGTTGATCCTGTCTTGTATTTGTATTATTCGTCTTGGAATTAATTTAGTAGGTAGCCGGTGCTATTTTGGACAATTATAAGCCTAAATCGAAAATCTGAACCAAAAACGGAACGAGCACACACACTTTAATTGAAGAATGCGCGACATCGTCCCATGAGACAGACTGGCTGTCGCGCACCATTGCGCGACATTGTCGTCAACGTGTTAACACATTCTCTCACTTTTCACTGCTTGAACGTGACTGCAAACATGCTTCAACAAATCAGCGACATTCTTGAAACTAAGAGAACTACCCACCTAATGAAAGAATCGCAAGGGTTCCATCGCTAAAGCGGACCGAATTCGCTGCCGCCACGGGCGACAGTTAGTAGCGAATGAGATTTCTTGATGTCTCCTTTATATTAGTGGCAAGGAAGGGTTACGATGCAACTTACCATGAAACGTAGCTCGCAGTTTCTTAAGTATGGCAGAATGTCATTAGTTATAGGCGGACATTTGTTTCAGTTCCTCTACAGAATCTAGAACGCCTCTAATGTCTTTTTTCTGAAATGTCCGTGTCCTGTGCTGATATTGTGTACTTCCTTTCGAAATTATCGCCGTCGTGTTCCTTAAGCTTATGTCGACGGAGCGACGGTTACTTTGAAACTGGCTCTAAACAATGCTTACCAAGTACTTGTGCTAGCCATACGAATAACAAAAACACCTAGCAAGTTCAGGGTGCAGCCACCATTACTCATCATTGCTTGCTCAGTCGAATTCCGAAGTGAAGTGCGCTATATTAGCGTAGAAGAGAGATATTCCAGCAGGGAAGGCATTAGAGACGTTCTGGATACAGCAATGGTATCACAAAACCGAAACGAACACTAGGGATGAGTGCTCTCCCATAACTACTGTCATACATATCACACTGCAAGCTCTGAATCATGGTTAGGATCTTCATAACGTGGTGTTTCTTATCATAAGTATAAGTCAGACATCGAGAAGTCTCATTCGCTACTGACAGTCACCTGTGACACAGCGGATTCTGCCGCTTTACCAGTGGAGCCCTAATGAGTCTTTCATAGGTTAAGCCTCTAACGAGTACCAGACATGTCTTTGGGTTGCTAGGGATGATTAAACGCTAGTATTATGTTGTGCAAATCATGTAGAGTTGCGATTAGGCATGACGATTACGTCGACACTTGAAGCAGTTGAATTTGATAGTCAGTTACACCTGAACCTTCGAAAGGCAGAAGAATATTACCAACACAACACATGCGCGATCTATTTTCCTGGGTGGGTTAAACTATTCGAGTTCGAATCCATAATAGCACCTAAAATGGCTAAGTTAATCAAACAGACAAACAAAAAGGCAAATAGACACATCGCTACAACTTTATATTAGGTTGGCAAATAAGTCCTGCTACAAAATGGATACCTTTTTTGAATCATTTCTAAATTTTTTCATATCAATCAATTTTCGGAAAAATATTTACTAAAGAAGTCAACAACCTTCTTTT